GGCAGGGAGTGGATCCCCATCCTCCCCAAATGGCTGGACTCTCAGTCTCTCAAGCACTCCACCAGTCCCAGCTTCCCAACCTCACCAATCTCCAGAGAACCACACAATATAAGTTTGTGCTTCAAAGCATATCTCCAGGGCTGGGTGTTCAGCAGTCTTAGGCTTTCACCCCCTCCCTGCTCTATTTCTCTTCCTCCTGCTGGTGAGCTGTCATGGGGGAAGGGCTTGGGTCCCCTGGGATCAAGGCTTTTGTACGTTACCCTGTTTCATGAGGTCTGCTCTGTTCTCCAGGTGTATGCAGTCTGGTGCAGTCTTCTTTCCTGGTGCAGCCAACTAATCCTATAGGATTAGTTGTATTAACTATATTTTCCTACTATACGTGGTTTAGGGAGGAGTTCTCTGTCTCACATCTCACACCACTATCTTGAATCAATCTCTCACTCTCTGTATTAATTCTTATTATTGTATGTCAATCTATAATTATTTCAGAGTAAACATTTTAATACAAAAATATGTATAATGGCTGCCGCATCATGCTTCCTCAGGTGAGCTTAAGTTTTCATCATCTCAAATGTTTTGGTTTACTAAATAACCTTCTTTTAGGGATAGGTCTTTTTTAGTCTCCTTCAGGAGTTCTAAATATCTATTGTATTTATCATATTGGTACTCATTTAGACATTCTGAGACACTACACTAATACAAAGAATTGGGTTAAAATATAAATTTCCTGGGTTTTAGTTTAGTAGTTTTGAAGAATAATGAGACTTGCATGGGAGGCATTTACACTATTATATGGCTGTAGTCCTTTTTTAATCAACATGTCTGATCATGAAATTAACAGCAACATTAGCTTCTTCCAGTTAATCCCATTGAGCTCCAGGTATATTGACATAATTTCAAATATATTAACATCTTGCTTTTTAAATAATTACCTTTTTTACTGTAATAATCACTATACAACATACTGTACAATTGTTTTTTGTGCTTATAACACCATTGAACAAATAAGATATACATATTTCAATATAAAGAAAATTATAGTAAATGCATGATTTATGTAATATAAGATGCATAGGAATCCATAAATAAATGTAAAACATGGCAGGATCAGTACCTTTGCATATGCTACTTACTCACTATCTCTGACCACTCTTTCCACGCACTCTTCACACAGAGGTACCTTCTGACCATCATGCCTCAGAAAAAATGCCATTGCCTAGGGGCCCTCTGACCACCTATCTTACGTAGGCACTTCTTAGTTATTCTTAAATCTGAAATCCTTGTTTCATAGCAATTATCAAAATTGCTAACTTCTTGCTTTGTTTTAGTCTATTTCACAAAAATATAAACTTCATGAGACATTTGACTATATGTTTTACCTTTCATTGTATTCATTGCACCTAGTAGATATGCAATAAATATTACTGAATGAACTCCCTATTGACACAGCACACTTTTGGTAATACATATAATCTAAACATTTTGAGACAAAAATAAAAGATGTCCAAATTTGCAGACTAGAACAATACTCAGGATGGTTCCAGTCTTACCTTCACCACAAACTAGCTGTGACATTTTGCAAGTCACTTAAAATTTCTAGGCCTCAGATGTCACATAACTGAAAAGACAGAGGCTGAATCAAATCATCTTTTAAGATTCTACATGGCTCTAAGAGTTATGATTTTTATTGTGTACAAAGTACTTATATTTTTAAGTAGTAGGTGATAATAATATAAAACAATGAAAAATTGAATAATCATTCACTTTTTGGAAGTCAAAAGAAGCATTAAAATCAATAGTAGTACTATTAAGTCTTTATGTCATTGAGTTGTTAATGACATATGTTTGGTATGTTTTCCCATAAGCTATTTTCTAATATGGTAGTCAAGGATCATGAATCAGGGAAAGATTGATATTACTTCCATTTGTATAAATATGCTCTAGAAGCAGTACATAAAGTTACATGTACTAGAGTGATGTGTTGGTTTCATTCCTTTTACCTTATTTTTTTAATCAAATTCTGCAATAGTTAACAATTCAAATGTGACCTACACTATTTATCAGCTAAAATTCTTCTCTTGTGTGTATTTAATGTCAAGTAAAAACATTAAGTTTATTTTTCACTTCATAATATTCAGTTGTAGGAATCAAAGATCTCAAATGATTTTTCATATTTTTTTTTTTCATTGTTATTATATTTTAGAGACATTTATTTTAAATCCAAATTTAAAGGTTTTAACTTCAGTCTCTTACCATCTTTAAGAGGGCCAATAATGCTATTTCTATTCAGTAAAAATTCAGTGTAATTCCATTAATTAAAAAATAATTTCAGAGTATAAAAATCTAACTTATAGGACATTTTCAGTATGTGTGTAATGGTTTTCAGGTGTGTTATGTTTGATTATTTGTTTTTTTATAATCCAAATAGATCTTGCTGTTATTGTGGATGCATTAATGAAATTTTCCAGATTTGTTAAAGGAATGCACAGATAACTCAAATTTTCCTGTTCTCACCTTTAAAAGGCTCATTGGTTCCAATATGGTATTTAATACCAACTATTTTGTATTATTGTACAGCCATAGTGTAAGTGGGAAATGTAGGCTCCTAATATTCTAAATTGTGTAATAAGATAGATGGTTGTACCATTCCTTGAAATAAGGAATACCAGAGTGAACTAGGTTGGGTTGAGTTGTATTGAGGAGATTTTTAATTCAGCCTTAGATGTGGAAAATTTAGGGTACTTCTAAAACACACAGGAGGCATGTCAAGTAGGCAACTGATTACATGGCCACAGAGTTCAGAGGAGAAATCTGAGTCAGAAATAAATGTGGGACATCTTTAGGAGACTACCCAGGCATAAAGCATAGGGAAGGAAGTGACAATGCATAAGGGCATGCTTTGAGTAACTCCAAAAATTTAGGGTACTTCTAAAACACACAAGAGGCATGTCAAGTAGGCAACTGATTACATGGCCACAGAGTTCAGAGGAGAAATCTGAGTCAGAAATAAATGTGGGACATCTTTAGGGGACTACCCAGGCATAAAGCATAGGGAAGGGAGTGACAATGCATAAGGGTATGCTTTGAGTAACTCCAAAATAGATTGGCTCCGTGGAGGAGAAGAAGTTTATAGAGAAGAAATGTCCAAAAAGAATGGAGAAAGATCTGGCATCTTGGGTCCAAAAGGCCAAGGGAAAGAAGAAACACACAGTCAACATAGTTAGATACTGAGAAGAGGTCAAGTAAGATAATTGCCAAATTTAGCAATGTAGAGGTCACTGGAGAACTTTCAGATACCTATCTCAATAGTGATGGGACAGAAGCCAGATATACGTGGGGGTCGAAAACCGGAGGAGTTGAGGAAATGAGTGAGCATAGCCAGTCTTAGAACAAGTTTAATCAAGAAAATATAAGGCAGACAGTAGTTGGGAAAAAAACAGAGATTAAAGATGGGTTATTTGGGGTGGGAAGCAAGATGGAGATTGTTGTTAGGAGTCAAAACTTAAGCATATTTAAAAAGTGAGCATAGGTTGACATACACAGTAGGTAGAGGGCTACTCGTACTCCCCTCATGCTGGGGATAAAGCTTGGACAATGAAGGGATGGCAATGTGCAGGACATAAAGTCACTGTCCTTGACGAATTAAACTAAACCAGCTCAAAATCCACAATCTCACTGAAGCTGTCATAATGGAGAATATTTTCTTATATAATGTCATATAATAATATAACTTCTTTTGTAAAATTCTCCTTTGGAAAACATTGCCATCCTATGTCAGATTTGGGCCAAACAGCACAAAACCACATATTTTTACTGTGACTATTGCCCAGATATTGAAGCCTTAAATATCCTCACTAACACAAATTAAGTATATCTTGGAGTGGAATTGTGGCCTCATCTAAATCTCAAATGTGTGAGTTAATACCTTTGAAATACACTGTATAAAAAGGAACAAAATAAAATGGATACAGCTTTTAAAAAAAAAGGTGAGCACTGGATTTGGTTGAGAAAAAAAGGTAAACATAATATACAAACTCATCTAAAATTTCTGGGAAAATAAGAGATGATGGGATACAAAAAAACAGGCACAAAAAATGACAGTAAAAGGAACAGTTCTTCTATGGAAGTAAGGAAGAAGAATGGGTACAAGACATCTAGTCCCAGAAAATAAATACCTGATGATTCTAAATTTTTCTGTAATGTGGAGTCCATCTGCTGACTATGATAGGGGGAATAGGAGATCAGAGATTTGAGAGACATGGAGAGTATTTGAAAAGTTGTGTAGATAGAGAAGTATCAACCAGAGAAATCCTACACATCATAAATTCCATAAGAATCTTGATAAATCAGGCCAGTTGTGAGATATGATAGCAAGAAATTTATATGGTCTAGTCAGGATTAGAGAAACCATACCAGGAAACCCTGTTGGAACAATGACCAAAGCCAGATTAGAAACTAAATTTTAAATCAGAATTTAATTTTAAAACAATAGAAAATACAATTATTTAAACTAAGTAAAAACAAGAATATACCAGTAAAGTCAGAGGATCCAGAAAGATGTTTATGGATCCAGAAATCAGCAAGGAAAAAAACAGTAAGACAAAACAGCACAGCAAATCTCAGAGGGCTTTTCATAGATTTTTCCCAACCAGAAGAAGCCAATTTCTAGATAATACTGGCCTGCTACTTTCTTAACACGATATTCACAGTGAATCTGGTGGATATTAATAAGGGAAGTAAAGATGGCTTTTAGCAAGTTTTTTGAAAAATAGTTCAAACTGCTAAAACACTGAGACATACGATCAGTACTTCACTATTGATAAAACACAGAATCACTTTTCCAGAGTCCTAGAAAATAACTCAACTATACAAAGTTTTAAACTTAAAATACAACTTCAACTTCTAGAAATTTTATATCCATAATACCATGTAAATGAAGTATTTCTGTAAATTAACATCAATTAAACTTTCTTCCTTAGAATTATTTGTGTTTTACTTACTCAGACTTCTTTTCATATGTCTTAGAAGATTCTTCAATACTCTTCTCTAGCTCCAGGGCAACCTCTTCCTTGTTTAAAAGCATCTGCTGTGTCTGCATAAGTTCCTCTGTTAAAGTTTTCAACCTAGAATGAACAGTTTCCTCATTATCTAACAATACATTAATTACACTAATTTTAAAAAAGCATTCACACATCTAAGGTTGTGATGTCCAAAATAGTAGTTACATGTCATTTAATTTAAATAAAAGTAAAATTTCTGTTCCTTGGTTGCATTACCCATATTTCAAGTGCTAAACAGATACATGTGACTGGTGGCTACCTTATTGGATGATGCACAAAACATTTCAATAATCACAGTAAGTACTCTTGGGCATGCTGTTCCAGAGAGTCCTTTTCATCAAATAGAAAAAGAGAAACAGAAAATAGAGAAAGAGTAAAGTTATAAATATAATAAAGTATATTAAATACCTGTCATATCAGGGAAAATATATAGTGAAAAGACCATAGTTTTTGTTTTCAGACAAACATGTATTAACATTCTGACTTTGCCACTTTTTATCTTTGATTATAAACAATTGCTTAAACTCACTGAATCTATTTTCTCATTTGTAATTTAGGTATAGTAATAACTGCTTCAAATCATTGTCTTGAAGGTTAAATTAACTAATGTACATATAATAACTGATACTTGATAAGTAGGTAAATGATTATCTAGTATTATTTGTGTATGTTATTTAATCCTCACAGCAACCTATAAGATAGATACTATTATCCTTGTTTTAAAGAAAAGAAAATGAGGCTCAGTTGCATGGCAATTTAAACTGATAGTAATCTATTTCCATTTCCACATATTGTAATAATGCTTTAGGAGTATTTTCTATATACATAAAAGATGATTAAACATATAAAATTAATATGTACCCATAGACCAGATGATTTTTGATTGCATAAAATGCATTTGGTCCTAAATGTAAATATTTCTACCAAAAAAACATACAGAGATACCATATCACATTACAATTTTTATCCTCAGCTTTTTAATGCAAAATATGAAGCCCAAAATACACAAAAGAAAATACTAAATAACCCGTCTATGAAAATTTAAGTGTATTTAAAAAGATAATAAAGTCAAACTGAAGAAATATTTACAGTGCAAATTAAAAACAAAAACCCTCTTAATGCAGAAAAACTCTTAGAAAAAAGATAAACTAATATGAAAATGAACAAAGAACACAATTGGAAGTTCATCAAGAAAAATTCATATGAACAGTAAGTACACAGAAACATTTACAACCTGACCCACAATTAAACATCTGCAGATTAAATCAATAGTAAGTTATTTTTTACCTCCTAAAATTGAAAAGTGTGAGAAAAATGAAATATTCAGTATTTTCAATATTGTAAGAAAAAAAAGAAACACACATACACTATTGATTTAACAAACTTGACATATATTTTTCAGATGTCAACTTGGAATTGTCTCACAAACTTCAAATTATTTTTTGACCATCTAAAAATCTGTCTTACCAAAATACTTTACAATACGAACAAAATTTGTCCATATGAAAATGTTTGTTGCAACACTGTTTATAAAACAAAACACTAGAAAATACTTAGATGTCCATCAACAGAGGATTGACTGAATAAATATTTAATCCCTTTAAAATAAAGAATAGCATATAGTCACAAAAAAGTAAAATGCACACACATGATAATATGTTCTGGATTGCTATGTTTTGGGTTCTTCTGATTGTTATTTTTTAATAAAAAAGCAAGATACAGAATACATATAACATGGTTCGCCTTTCTATTAAAATAAATGTATGCATATATGTGCTAAAGACTAATTGTATCCCCTAAAAATGTATCTGTTGAAGTCCTAACATGTGATGGTATTTGGAGCCTTTAGGAGATGACTAGGGTCATATGAGGTCACAAGGGTGGGACTTCCTGATGGGATTAGTGGCTTTACAAGAAGAGGTACCAGAGTTTGCTCATGCTCTCTACCTGGGGGCACACAAAGAGGTCATGGAGTACACAACAACAGGGCAGCAGCCTTCATGCCAGGAAGTCTCTCACCAAGAACCAAATTGGCTGGCACCAGAATGGCAAGAAATAAATTATTGTTTTTTAATCCACCAGTTTATGGCACTTTGCTGTCAGCCAGAGCAGAGTAATATAATATGTATATATTTATGTGTGTTTTGTATGTGAATGTACAAGAGAAGAACCAGGTTACTATAAACCAAACTTGCAACATTCTGAAGGGTGTGGGCTTGGCATAGGGAGTGATTTAAGGCAAAAAAAAAAAAAAACCTTTTCATATTTTTCTCTTTCTATTATTGAATTTCTTTATAATAAGAATATTTTTTAATTATTAAATAATAGGTAATATATGTGGAAGAGGCAGAAAAATTATGAGACATAATCAGAAGAATCCAAAACACAGTAATCTAGAGCATATCATCTTTGTTTAGAGTTAATCAACATAATAAATCTCAATAAATTTCTGAGGGCATTACTATATAATAACAAAACATAATCAATGGTGCTTATAATAATGATCCAAAATCATAAGGGATTATGATTAGCATTAAGGTTAAATTATCATTGGCATTTTTCTATAAGAATACACATACACATATATTTGAAAGAGAATCACATCAAATCTAGTAAAATTGTGCTTTTTCATTTGGCGAAATGAGCTTTGGCCAACTGGAAAATTCACTTACATGGAATAGTTCATGTTCAGACTAATAAAGAAAGCATTACTGTATTAAAATTAGAGATTATTCTCAAGAAAACTACATTTCAACTTCTGGTTTCAAGTTACTTAGTACACAATTACAAATGAGTAAATAACATTCACATATAATGCTTTGCTGTTTATAAAACTCTGCCTTATATTCAATCTCATTTAATCCTCATGAAAGTCTGAGACACAGGACCCAACACCCAACATACCTGACCCTATCACCTTCTGTCACCCGAGTGTAGAAGTAACAAAGTAAAGACCAGCTTCTCACCATTACCTTGGCCATCACATATCAAAGCTGAATTTGACAGAAAGCTCTTTCCCTCTCTTTATTGCTTTCCCCTCCTCTGTTCTTTTACTTACCTCTTCTATACCTTTCCCTTATCTCTTATTCTCTTCTTGCTTACTCTTCCATTCACCTATCTCTCAATTCTTCATTCATTCATTAAAATAAGCATTTACTAAATACACACTCTTGTCAGGCATTCTACTACACAATAGGGAGAGAATAAACTAGTTTGGCTTCAGGAAACATACATTCTAATAGAAGAGACATGAACCTTTATTTCCTCCAACCCTCTCTTTTCCTCTTCTTTCCTTTCTCTGACTATTACTATTTCCTTTCCCTCATTTCTCTCACTGTACTACATCCTCCTCCCCATCCTGAGATGAATACATAGTCCCATCAAAGTGTAAAATGCAGACATCATGGCTTACTCTTCATAGTATATCCCTTACATTTAGCACAGTGTCTTGCACTAAGTATATGCTCAACGCAGTTGACTATGTCCTGTTTTACTGACTAGAAGCCCACTCATTAAGCTTTTTCAGCAATCCCCTAATAACTCACAAGACTCTCCTGATTCTTACCATTCTGAATTGTCTAGAAACTAAAATCAAAGCACCACATCACTGTGGGAACAGCATAACTTACTACTTTCATCCACCAACTAGTTCTGGGGTTAAGCAGACACATAAACCACTACTGGAGTGGTACACCAAGGGAAGTTTAAGTTCTCTAGATAGGAGTTGTCAGGGCAAAGCTGACTCCCTTCATGTAAAAATAGTCTCATCAAGCTAGTCACCTTACCTTAACACATCAGAGTAAGAGAAGTATTTGTGTTTACAACTCTACATCTCTGCTGCATTTTGTAAAGCACCTTACTCTGGTATAACAGACACCAGCCCTAGAGCCAGACAGATTCAATATTTACTTAGCTTTTCTAAACTTTCACTTACTCCTCTAATAAAATGGAAATTAAATGAACTTAAAGGGCTCCTGAAACTATGATGCATATTTCTAAAGTTACTAGCATAGATCCTAAAGGAGAGCAAGCTCCCTACAAATGTAACTTCATAATCTAAGCCAGTTTTATTACTTTCATAAGAAATATGTTTCTATAAAGTAACTTTAAATTTTGTCTTCTTTTTAAAAAGTATTTTGTAAGCAATAGGTGCAAAGAGTAATGTTGCTCCTAGGATGGGTATAGAATTGAGTATTTAAAAGAACATCTACACTCACTTCAAAGGACAGATCAACCAGACAAAAAATAAGTAGGGAGACAGAGGCACTAAAGAACATATTACAACAGATGGATCTAACTGACATCTACAGAACACTCCATCCAAAAGCACCAGGAAACACATTGTTCTCAAGTGCACATGGAACATTTTCAAGAATAGATCATGTACTAGACAACAAAAAGAGCCTCAGTAAATTCAAAAAGATTGAAATTGTACCATCCAGCATCTGAGATCACAAAGGTATGAAACTAGAAATACATTACACAGAGAAAATGAAACAGCCCACAAACATATGGAGGCTCAAAAACATGCTCCTAAATAATCAATGGATCAATGACCAATTCCAAATAAAAACAGAGATCAAGCAATATATGGAGACAAATGACAACAATAATACAATACCACAAAAATCTGTGGGATGCAGCAAAGGCGGTGCTAAGAGGGAAGGACACTGAATTACAGGCATACTTAAGGAAAGAAGAACAATCCCAAATTATCAGTCTAAACTCGCAATTAATGATACTAGAAAAAGAAGAACAAATGAGGCCCAAAGTCGGTAGAAGTAGGGACATAATAAAAATTACAGCATAAATAAACAAAATCGGAAGAATAAAACAATATGAAAGAATCAATGAAAGCAGGAGCTGGTTCTTTGAGAAAATAAACAAAATAGATAAATCCCTAGACAGACTTGTCAAGAAAAAAAGAAAGTTAACACACATAAACAGAATCAGAAATGAAAACAGAAAAATCACTATGGACACCACAGAAATACAAAGAATTATTAGAGAATACTATGAGAAATTATATGCTAACAAAGTGAATAGCATATAGAAATAGAAGA